CTATTAAACCAATGCTTATTCTAGGCCCCAATGAGCCATGAAATTTAACAATGTGACTTAGGCCAGTCATGGTCCCTTAGCCTGATCTACCTCACAGGATTGTAGTGTTTGTGGCTGCAGGGGGGCAGGGGGAAACATATGAACGGCCTTGGGCTCAGTGGAGGAAAGGCAGGATAAAATTTAATTCAACTGACAAATAATGTAAGTTTGGATTTAACCAGGATAACCTCTCAGTAGGTTGCTTCCCAATTTTAATTAGCGAGCAAGGTCATTGTTTATATTTTCAGCCTGAGGTACCAAAGCAGAAGTCTTGCCTTGTTTATTCTGGATGCTCCCTCTTGTCACCCCAAACTGAGCTGATGTCATAATAGGAAAATGAACAAAACAGAGCAGAACACAGGTGGTGCTGAGCCGTCTCTTTCTAATTTGTACAAAGAGGCACATTGTGATGCTGGAACACTTCCACTCAGTGGGTGAATCACAGGGCTCTCTTCTGACAGAGAAAACTGGCACCAGAGAGGGCAAGGGGAGGGACACAAATAACTTGGTGGGTGGGGTGTGTGTCTCCTTTTTGAGAGAACAGGCAGTGTGGGGGCCTTGATGAAAAGAATCAGTCAATTGTCCTTAGAAAAAGGGGGATCAACAAGTCTGCTCTGGTAGAAGCAACAGTAATGATTATAATAAAAACACTGGGTTTCCCAGCTTTCTCTTTCTGAGTCATTTTGGTTCTTAACTTCAGCTTTGTAATAATAGGTTGCGATTTCTCCCTATTTTTAAAGGTAGTCATAGAAAGAAGGGACAAGATCTGTTCTGGATCATCCCAGAGTGCAGGACATGTAATAATGGCCTCAAACTATAGGAAGTCAGATTTAGGCTGAATATCAGGAAAAAATTCTTAATGGTTAGAGCAGTACAACAATGGAACCAATTACCTCTGAAGGTGGTGTGTGCTCCCAATGCTGAAAGTATTGAAAACTACAGTAGATAACGATCTGCAAGATATGCTTTGGATTCCTGCATTGAGCAGGAGTTGGACTCAGTGGCCTTAGAGTCCCCTTCCAACTCAATTATTCAGTAACTGTAAATCAATCTAGGTAGGGGGGAAAACATGGGGAGAAGCTCAGGGGGCCCAGGTATCATTCAGCCATGATCAGGGACAGACTTTGGGGGCATGTTACTCTTACCTGTATTTATTCTCAAAGGCAATGCTATTTCATCTCCTCCGTTGACCTGAGACCTGAGTTCAGAGCTTCATTTGTCTGTTTCACTGCTATTTCATCTCCTCCGTTGACCTGAGATCAGAGCTTCATTTGTCTGTTTCATCCCTCTTCAGCCATAAGGAAACACATTAAGTGGTGTCAACTGAAGGAGATCGGAGTCACGTCTTGGATGGTGCTAGTAGCATCTTGCTCCAGACGTGTCCCTCACTTTATGCTATGTAACAGGAAGCTTTAATTAAAACTATGGCGAGCTGAGTCAGCTATATGGCACCAGCCAAAGTTCTGTTTCTCAGTCATCCCAGAACAGTAGCATGTGAACTGTTTTTATATACAGAAAATTATGCTCGTAAGACATTATCAATGGAGCCAGTAGGGGTGTACACTCACAGAAGGCTTGACACTCAGCAGTTGAACTCATGCTTGGTTTGCAGAAGATTCCAGGTTCTACCTCCACTCAAGTCAGTACTTGGGCTAGTTGGTGTGAGAAATGTGCAGCCCCTGACACGACTGGATTTCAATGCCTTTCAGCCTTCATTACCATAGCTAATGTTGAAGGGCTGAAGGAGATGTTCCCATCTGGAGGGCCAGCCATTTCTCATCTCTGAGACAGATGCTCCTATGGGGAAAGTTCATGGTAGCTTCACATTTGCTCTTACTGTGGCCAGGCTGGCTGGAGAATTCTGGAAGTGGTACATCAAAAAATGATCCCCCCCCCAAGCTGTCATTTAAAAACTATATATTTGCCGCAAGGTGGAGTGGCTGGATAGTTAGGTGCTTGGCTGTGGAGCCAAAGATTGGGAGTTCAGTTCCCCACTGTGCATCCCTAACGAGTCAGTGTGTGCGATCACAGACAAGCGACACAGTCCCAGGATGCCCTGAGATGAAAGGAATGGTAAACCACTTCTGAGTACCCTCTCCCTGCAAAACCCTCAGAAGGGTCACCAGAAATTAGAATGGACTTGACGATGCAGTTATTAACTCTTTGTGTGTTACAGCAAGAATAACAGAGCGCTTTGTGACAGTAAGGTCTTAACAAGTTTTATTTCACATAATCTACCCTATAGCTTGCTTCATCAGATGCAAACAATGAAGTGGGCTGATGATGATGTTAGGAATAACGTATGTTCCCGTACCACTTGCCACATGCACATACGCACGCTAATCAGATGCAAACAATGAAGTGGGCTGATGTTGATTTTGATGTTAGGAATAACGTATGTTCCCGTACCACTTGCCACATGCACATACGCACGCTATTTCCAGCTTACAGTTCCCTCTTTTTTTCATGACAATGACTGCTAACCTTTTCTAGCATTTTTGTAAAGATGAGTAAAAGCTGTGAGGCACTTCCATGATTATTTTTCAAAAGGCCAGGCATGCTGAATGTGAACAGTATGGCTTCTTGTGGGAAAACAATACACATTGCTTTCATCCTCTTTGGTTGTCCATACAAAGCAGATCAGTTTTGCAATGTTTCAGAGTGAATCGGAGCCAATTTAATGGATGGACATAAGCTGCTTGGCTGCTCCTCTCCTCCTCCTCGCCCACTGTGGACACATAACTATAACAGCATTCATAAACTCCCATTTTATGCCCCTGCAGCAAAGACGGGAAATGCTTGGACCTGCGCAACTTGTTGGATACCCCACTCCCATTATTTTTCAACCATAGTTAAGCTCCTATACATCCGAGTTTAGCATCGTTCAACAACTCCCATTTTCCAGCAGACTCCTAAGCACTGCTCCCATGCTTTCAAAAATGCACAAAAAATTGTTCAAGCTTTCAGGATCACCAATATCTTCGTCAGGAAGGAGGTCTCAGAATCTTGTACATTTCCTGTGCCTTTTGGGCTGGCTTAATGAAGGTACTGCTCATTAGGCTTGGAATTTGGGATCCATTTCTTTCTTTTTTTTACTGACCTACATATAGTAGCTACCTCTTGTACATTTCCTGTGCCTTTTGGGCTGCCTTAATGAAGGTACAGCACTGCTCATTTAGGCTTGGAATTTGGAATCCGTTTCTTTTCTTTTTTCTTTTTTTACTGACCCACTTATAGTAGCTACATCATTTTTATGGAGCTTTTACAGGGGCAAAAATGTCTTTTGTACATAAGCAGGGTTTGAAAGTTAGACTCTGCACTCTGTGCCACTACTTCAGTGCTGTGGTTCCACAGTCTTGCTGTACCAGATACACACAATCACACACACTGCCCTAGATATACTGTGATCAATGTGCCTCCCCCATCAGGCTCATGAATTGACAGCAATTAAGGGAGAGTGCTGAAGGGTACAGTTAAGGTAATTACCCAGTGGGAGTTGCATTACAGTTATTCAGACAGGAGAGAGAGTGAAAACAAGGAAGGAATATGATCCTGTTCTACTACCTGAACCTGTTTGCCCTTCCACACCCTGACAGATGCTTCCTTTTTGTTTTTGTTGTGTGGGTTTTTTATTTTTTGCTGTTGGGGGACATTCCTTCTCCCACATGAACACCTGCAGAAAAAGGAACCATCAATTAGCTTTCAAATGACAAAACTAGGTCATGGAGCAATCAGTTCCCAAGAACAGTGTCACACAGAGGAGCCCATAGCAATTCCAGATTTTGATCAGCAGCCTGTACAGGAAAGTCAGTGTACAAAAGGGGCAAGCAAACACACAGTGTTCATGCCCCCCCCCTCCATAGCTGGACCGACTGTTGATCCTGGAGCCCAGCTGGAAGCCGTGGATTATGACTTTGCAGACAGAGGATTGAATGTGTCAAACAATAAAAATAAGTACATGTGATAAATAATAAATATCTTCCACACATCATCGTATCTTCTGTGGCTGGCACCTTGCCCTTATTTTTATGCATCCAAAAGAGATCTATTTTGGAAACTGTACAATTGGCAATATAACATGCTATTTGACCTTAAAAGTATTAAGGTCTACTAAATGCCTATAATTTGACATCAATGATCGAAGACTTTTCTCGCAAGAGTTCCTGGGAGGAAGGGGAGATCTATAGCCGAGCACTTCAAACCTCAAGCCTGAACTGAGTGCACAATTTTCAGTAGCATAACAGATTGCCATCTCTCTGCTGCTACCTTCTTTCCTAGAAAAAGGCCATGTTCCACTGGTACCTGTCTTACAGAATTACAGTCTAATGGGATGAATGAAGGGAGTGGGAAAGGCAACCTATGGATATTTTCCATTAGGTATCCCTAATATGCTTCGTAATAAGGAATCTTTGCCTGCACACCTCTGGAGGCTACACAAAAAAATTGCAACATCTTGTCGTTAAAATGCACATCCTTTAGAGAAGATCTGGAGAGGAACAGTGTTTAAAACATTTCTGAAAATGAATTCAATCATGTAGCATCACTGTCCCAGTCTTTAAACCCAACAAAGGCATTCTTACACAACCAAAACACCACAACTCAGGACATCAACTCAGGACACCGCAACTCAGGACATCAACTGTGCTCTTTGTTTTGGTTAAGGCAAGATCATTGCCTGTGGGATTTTAATGCACTGGAAAATAAATTGCTGAGCACAGTATATACTATTTCAGCAAATGAGAAATCACCAGACTGGAACTGCTCTCTTCTGTAGTGAAGGGCCTCTTATTTAATAGGCATTATGATGCTTGAGGATTTCAGGTGAATTCACTAGGATGGGTGAGGGTGGAGGGAGGGGCCTGCTTCACTTCCACTGTCTGGCCACAATGATCTAGCCATACTTTAGCCCCAAAGTTGGATTTGACAAGACAAGATTCAAAAAAACACCACTGGCCCATATTCTTATTCAGTAGTTTATTGTGGAGACATAGGACTGCTTTGACATAGCAAACACACTCAAAAGGGGAACTACATTTCACCCTAATGACCGAGCCCCATTCCCCCTCAAACCAACCCTGCCCCCCCACTTTTCCATTAAACCATTTCTTTAAGCCCAGCAGGGATGACAAAACCCCCAAAACAAATGCCAAGTTACGAGTTAGTGCATACTCATCCCCCAAAACAAAAACTCACATGACCACAAAACACTCAGGACAGACAGCACTGGAGGGAAGGTGCATCCGAGTGGGGATGGGGGGGCAGGAGAGAAGGGGGGGCAAGGATAAGGCGGGAGGGGAGGATGCAAAAGTATGTTGGTAACGCTTTTAGCTAGACATATTACCACTCGCTGCCATTCCTGAACACAGCTACGAATCCCGCTACTCTCCCCATGTCTGCCCCCCCATTAAACCCGCATGCCTTGTTAAATGTATGCTGTTTCAGATGGGCAGGTGAATAAAGACTCAACCCAGTGCTGTTTCCCTCCTTTAGGGTGGCCAACAATGTTCAAGTCTATGCCAGCGCAGGCAATATGGTCCATGGGTTCAGAAGACTGGTGGGAATCAGAAGGAGTCAAGGGGAGGGAAAGAAAGTCGGCTTTCACGCCACTTCTTCCTCAGCCTCCTCTTCAAATTCCCCTTCTTCGGCTGTAGCATCCTGGTACTGCTGGTACTCGGAAACCAGGTCGTTCATGTTGCTCTCTGCCTCTGTGAACTCCATCTCGTCCATGCCCTCGCCCGTGTACCAGTGGAGGAAAGCTTTGCGCCGGAACATGGCCGTGAACTGCTCCGAGATGCGTTTGAAGAGTTCTTGGATGGCCGTGCTGTTGCCGATGAATGTGGCGGCCATTTTGAGGCCACGAGGCGGGATGTCGCACACGGCTGTCTTCACGTTGTTGGGGATCCATTCCACAAAGTAGCTGCTGTTCTTGTTCTGTACGTTCAGCATCTGCTCATCCACCTCCTTCATGGACATCCTGCCTCGGAAAACGGCCGCCACGGTCAAGTAACGCCCATGCCGGGGGTCGCAGGCCGCCATCATGTTCTTGGCATCAAACATCTGCTGTGTCAGCTCTGGCACTGTCAAGGCCCGGTATTGCTGGCTGCCACGGCTGGTCAGAGGGGCAAAGCCAGGCATGAAGAAGTGGAGGCGAGGGAAGGGGACCATGTTCACAGCCAGTTTGCGAAGGTCAGCGTTGAGCTGGCCAGGGAAGCGAAGGCAGGTCGTCACACCGCTCATGGTAGCGGAGACTAAGTGGTTGAGATCCCCGTAGGTAGGAGTTGTGAGCTTGAGGGTCCGGAAGCAGATGTCATAGAGGGCCTCATTGTCAATGCAGTAGGTCTCGTCTGTGTTCTCCACCAACTGGTGCACTGAGAGAGTGGCATTGTAAGGTTCCACCACGGTGTCCGAAACCTTGGGCGAGGGCACCACGCTGAAGGTGTTCATGATACGGTCCGGGTATTCCTCGCGGATCTTGCTGATCAGCAGGGTTCCCATCCCGGATCCGGTGCCCCCACCTAGCGAGTGGGTGAGCTGAAAGCCCTGGAGACAGTCACAACTCTCTGCTTCCTTCCTTACCACATCAAGGACTGAGTCCACCAGCTCAGCTCCTTCTGTGTAGTGTCCTTTGGCCCAGTTGTTTCCAGCACCACTCTGTCCTGAAGAGCAAGGAAACAATTGGGGACAAGAGGAAGTGGTTAAAGATGTTTGGTTATCATTTTTTTTACAACGTGTTTCCAATCAGTGTTCCCTTTCACAGACACTCTTTCACCAAAAAATGATTATCCCCTCCCTTCAATTTCTGGATTTGCCAAAAAGGGAACCAAATCCTCCCCCAGTGAGGAAACTGATTGGACTTCTATCCTAGAATCCAGCTTCCCAGTCTGTAAAGCAATTTTGGTCAGTCAAGCAAAAGAAACAGAAAATACAGTTTTGAAACAGAAATGGTTGGGGATCTAATTCACAGTAAAAAAACACACGTGTCAGCCAGACTGGCTATTTAGTCTAACAGAACCCCAAATTCACCTGGGACCAATGTTCCCTCTAACTTCCTGGAGTGCTGGACAGGGGACACGTAGCTGAGAGGAAACGTGGCCTGAGACTGCTCTTACAAGTTCCCTTCTAACCGAGAGAGCCATCCTGTGGGACACAACGTTTTCTACAGAAGTGTAGTATCCCCTGAGGGGAGGGTGGGAACCAGTTCATGGCAGTGAAAAATGTCGCCATTCTTGGCTAGTGTTTTGCCACAGAAAGGCTGCAGGCCTAGAGATTTCCTCTAAGAGTGCAGACCACACAGGAGTCCTACTGTGGCACCATTCAGAAGTTGCCAGGTAGGTGGTTTGCTAAATGAAGGCTCATGCTATCCACAGCCTTTTTTAGAACAAGGGTAGGCAAATGCAGTCTATGGGTCACATGTTTCCCCTTTTAAAATGGCCCAAGGAAGGTCAGAGCTGGGGTTTTCCACTCTAGGGCTGCAGTGTGTGTCTTCCAAGACTCCCTTGCAATGAAGGGAAAGAACAGGCACTTGGCACTTCCTATTTGTTTGGATTCCCCCCCCCTTTTGAAAATGGTTGTCTGGACCTGGAAGGAGGCTGGGGGATTGAATCTGGCCTTCAAGTTCTCAGCCCTTGCACACTGCTGCTTCCTTGGCTGCATGGCATGTCTAACCAAAACCCCAAAAAAGGTTTCCCCTTTTTCATGGGAAACAAACCATTTCACATAACAATTTTTCACGTCAGCCAGAAGACAAAATCCTGTTAATGATACAGCTTGCTAGTTTGTTCTGGCAAAGCGTCAAGGAGTCCTGTGACGCCTATAAGGCTAGCAAGTTCTCTTTGGTGTACGGTTTCATAGACTGCAGGGCAACATTTTCAGATGCAGCTGCTCTGTTGCAGCTGCAAGTTCGGTCAATTTCAGGTTGTGCCCCTGGAAGCCTCAAAGGAAGATAGCACTGAATTGCACGTTTCACATTTTAAATGTTTCACATTTTAAATGTTTCACATTTTAAAAGTCACGTCTCTCAAGCACTGTGCACAGCTCACATCTTTCCTACAAGCATGCAAGACTATGTGCACGCTGTGAGCAGAAAATCAACTTTTGATACAAAAAAAATGGCTGTTTAAGCACATTAAGGTTCCTGGACCTTTAAAAAAACTGCATGTTGGCATCTGCAACAGGCCCCTCAGGGGGTGTTGCTTTGGTGCTCTGTGTAACTAATTGCTCCTTCCCATCTCCTGCCATTACCTTGCAAATCCTAATTACTCCTCACCAAAAGAAAGTCCTAAAAAGCCCTGGGCTACTTTCAGAAAAAGACAGTTCAGAACTAGGAACATAAAGCCACATAAAACCTTTGCGTAACAGCACTGCACCCACAGCACTTGTCTGCTTAATGTGTCCTCACTTCGTATTTACATCATCTGAACATGGTCCAAACAAGCGTTTCAAACCATCTGTCACAGAAGCAAGGACCTGCTGCTGCAAGGAAAGCCAGCTTTCTGCATGATGAAACACTGTGGCTATTCCTCAGCTTCCTACTTCCTAGATGGGCTCCATCTTGTTCCAACTCATCTCCTTCCTCCCACCTCTACAAATGAGGTCACCCTCCAAATTCTTCACAGGCACCCCCAGGGCTGGTAGCTTCCTGCTCCATACCTTCCTCCTCCCAGTCAGCACACCCATAATATGCATACGGGCCCATGCCTATACTTGTGGGATGCAAATTTGTAGCAAGAAACAGCTGAAAGTTGTTGCTGTCTTACTGCACTCTCTTCCTCCGGGCACTACAAAGATGATTTAATTAAGGCTTGCTTTCCCCCCCCAGAAATAATGCTGCATCAAGCAAATTATTTTCAAAATGTTGTACATAGCAAATAGCTTGGCTGGATAGCTCGGCAAACCAGATCACCTGGTTGGGGGGGCTTGATTCCCTACTGTTCTGTAAGAAAAAAAGCCAGCCTGTGTAATCTTGGGCAAGCTACAGTGCCCAAGAACATTCCCCAATAGGAAGGAAATGGTAAACCATGCATCTAGGAAACCCTGGGAAAGGTTGCCAATAAGTTGGAATCAGCTTGATGGGACAAAATTATGACTATACAGCAAATAAGAGGGAGCTTGCCATTTGCTATAAAGGCACCCAACACTACTGTTTTTCCTTCTCTTGTCCAACCTCAAGGCAAATTGCACTTTGGAACCCAGGCACTGCAAAGTTCAAGTATTCAGTCGCCTTCCCCAGTCTGCCATTTCTTCAGGTGAACTCATCCTACTGTTTATGCTGAATGGGAATGGGGGGGTGCATAATGTAACACTTCTGGAAGGTGCCAGTCTGGCAGAGGCTGGCACATCAGATTCTTAATAGCGGAAAGGACCTGAAGGTGCCCTGTCTAAAAGCTTCAGGGTGTGAGGGTCACCCTAGCTTCATAACAGTTTCTAGTTTCACACTGGTTAGGATAATTTGATTTGCAAATACATTGTACAGTGGAGCAGCAGTGGCCCTGCCCTAAGCATCAGGGAAGAACCTGAATCCTAGTCATGTAACTAGAAAAATACGGCTTAAAAGAAAGGACAGTATAGCACACCACCTACTCTGGACTACGCTGAATCAATCCTTCGCAATTGCATCCTCCAGATGCTTTGGGCCAACACTTTCCTAGCTTTCCCCACTGGCTGAGGAGAGTTGTCGTCTAATACAATATAGAGGGAAGCAGCTTACCTACAACTGATAAAAGTTCGGTTTCTGCCCTTTACTTATGGGACAAGTTTTATATATATATATACACACACACATTCCTCTGCATTACTATTAACCTTTCAGACATCCTTGATGGCAGGTAAAACTGATGTGCTCGGACTGTGGAATCAGGCCTGAGACCAATGACTTTGGAATGCCACGGGTGAAGAGATGTTCAAACCCAGATTTTCCCAGGGCTTGTGTTCTATGCCTTATTGAAGTAAACAACCAAGTTACAGCAACATGGGCTCTTTTTTTTTCATTTTGACTTGGACTTAAAAAACAGTGTCATGGTTAAAATTACACTAGGTTTGAAAGAGCTTAAATTGAGACAGGCTGACATGATACAAAACCATCTAGTCTTTTAATCTTGGCAGCCAGCAACACTCCTTCTGGACAATTTCTTACCGAAGACGAAATTATCGGGCCTGAATATCTGCCCAAACGGTCCAGACCTGACCGAATCCATGGTGCCAGGCTCCAGATCAACCAAGACAGCTCTGGGCACATACTTGCCCCCTGTGAAGAGAAAAGGAAACCTTTCAGACTTGGTTAAGAATCAGCTTCATGGCAAACCCATCTTCCCAGACAAATCTGGCACTGAATGGGACAAGGGCATGCTGAGCATATTAGCTGGCTCAAAGGCAGGAACCATTTCAAGTTTTGCCTCTCTTTATGGGCTGAGCTTACTGAGTTTTGGCAATAGAGCTGCATCCAGGACCTTTAGACCATCCCGCTTATTTCTCTGCAGAAAGATGATTAACTTGGAGATGCATCTGCAATGCCTGACTTGCTGTCATTGTCTCTCAAAATCCCTAGGTTACAGGTGGAGAGACAATAGCTACTTTCTATGGGCTGTTACTTGCACAGCTCAATCCCATGCAAGAGGCTTACTGGATGGAGGAACAAAACTGCTGGCTTTGAGGGCCAACCAATGACACTAGTTTTGCTGATTTTCACAGTCATCCTGCATCTCTCCCATCTTCCCCACCCTTGAGATCATTAAGGTCTACAATGAATGAACGAAAATGGTGAGGTCACGATCTAGGTCACAGGAAAGGTTTTTAAGTCTGAAATAGCAAAAGGTTGTTTCTCGGAGTGGCAAATTTAAGTGATGTTGGAGAAGGAATTTTTTTTTCTTTACAAGGACAGAGATGAAAGCAAATGGCATCAAATGTCCCCTGGTTGCCACTTGATCTCAAACTGAACATTGCTATGTACAGCGACGGCACATAGGTTTAGAGACAAACAACCCAGGATATTGTATTTGTAAAAAATTTAAGGTTGATATTTTTAGGGGGGAAAAATTAAGTGGCAGATTCCATCCCTTATTGGCTGTACGCACCCTACTTATGCTGAGGAGCAGTTCAAAATCTCTTGAAATAAATGAGAGGGATATCCTGGGAACAAAAGCTGAGAAACGTGGGCAGAGGGTGGAGAGGACCAAAAGGAAAGCAGCCCACGAGACAGGACCTCAGGTTGCCCAGAATGAGGTGAGAGGGATGACTTTGGGACTAAGCACTGCAGACCCACCTGAGGCCTCATTGTAGTAAACATTGATCCTCTCCAACTGAAGGTCACTGTCTCCATGGTAGGTACCAGTGGGGTCTATGCCGTGTTCATCACTAATGACTTCCCAGAACTGTAAAAAGGAGAGAAACATGCAAAAACATTAACACTAATTAAAGGCCCTCAAGCCAATTCTGACCTATGCCAACCCTTCCCCGTGTTTTCTAGGTCGAGAATACCCAGAAGTGGTTTGCCATTCTCTTCGTCAGGGGGCATCCTGGGACTGTGCAGCTTTCTCAAAGACGCATAGGCTGGCTCTTCTCTCAAGAGGTACAATGGAGGAATTGAGCTGCCATACCTAAACCACTGAGCTACCCACCTAGTTCAGGCACCAAATATTAGGGGAGAGTCATATGAACTTCAAATCTTGTGACATGGGGAAACAAGCAGCTTCTAAGGTGCCGCTGCATTCTTACCTATGTCCCATTCATTTTAATTCAGTTCATGGAAGAACTTCCCAGTTGGTTGGGCTTTCATGGTAGCACAGAGGATACCATCTGGGTTTTCAGATATCAATGACTCCTTCCTGGTTTTTTAATCCCTGGAGCAAGCTAATATTGCAAGGAGATGAGCGCAGGGTCCTCATGCAGCTGCTGCACAGGAGAGGGGTGAACTCTGATATCTCTGTAGGGGGTGGGTAGGCCAGGTATCATCATAATCCCCACCACCACCACTTTAGACCAGTAATAGTCTGATGACATGTATTGGGTTTACTGCTAATTAGCTCAAGAGCCAGCAGGCTGCGGGGCATCGGTTGTTCTTCATTCAACACACTCTATCTGTTATTCTGACCTTTGAAGCAACTTGGGTAGAAATGGCATTCAATTTCATGGAAAGCAAAACCAGCCATGTAATTTAGTGGGGCAGCTGTGCACTCTACACTGTTCAAAGACACTCTGCGTTCAGAATAAGTTGTCCTTAGGGATGCCTATTGCAGAAAAAGGTAAACAGCAGCATGGCAACCTGTCCTTTAGGTAGATGTTCAAAAAATTACCCCCTATGAACAGCTTCTAGAATTCCACAGCCATCCCAGCATTCTAGGAGTTGTAACCCAAGAAGGCAACATTCCCAACCTCTGTCTTCAAGGAAAGTTGAGTTGCCATGACTCAACGTCATAGTGAGGGGCTGTAGTGATAGTTCTGAAGGAAGCAAACTAGGGATGGAGTTTGATTACTTTTTGGAATACAACATAATTAACTAACAGCTCTGGTTCATTCCACCAGATCCCCAAAGGGAGAATGGATTAATTTTCAACAGGAGGTGCAAACTGAAAAAGAACAGTGGTGAGCAATGTTAGAGCCATCTTTTCTCTTTTTTTAACCAACCCTGCTAAATTCAGCTCATGGGCTAGATAGAGTACTAGTTTCCCACAATATAAGGCACCTACTTCTATGCGAGCCTTCCAATCCCCCACAAAGCATTCTAGAAATAATACGGTCCAAGTTTAAAGTAGGATCACAAGTCAGTGACAGAACATGTTTATCACGCAGAAGGCCCTGGTTCCATCTCTGATATCTATGGGGATGACTGTCTGAAACTCCTTAAAGTCTGCTGCTTTTTAATAGAGGTGTGCAGATTTGTATTTTTGGAGTACAACCCGCAGAATTCCCCAGGGAGTATATACTGTAGCCCAAAAACACAAATCTGCCCACTTCTGCTTGTTATCTTCAATGTTGTTGACCCAGTGATCTTTACTTTGGATAAGGGGGCTCCCCATATTCATCTGCTTCACATTCTTCCTTGAATGTTTCACTGACTATTAACCAGAATGTTTCTATACGCACATCCATACCCTTTGTCTGAAATAAAGACCTGAATATGGCAAGAAGTCATAGACAGCACTACCGTCATATACCGCTTGCATCTTTTGCATGAGGCATATACCTTCCCAAAGCAGCTCCCTGTACATGGTACTTCCCTTTGGAGTAATGCGACACCCTCTTTCATATTGTATTTCAGGCACACTACAGAAACCGCACCCAGGTTTTAAAACTAACTCAGAAAGCCACCCTACTTTGGAAACTCAGCAGATTGTCACACACAGTCATCTGAACTTACAGATCAAGTCATTAAGTACGTGTAGAGACACTGATATTCCAGAAGGCCATTTACGGCAGTGGAACACAGTCATCTGAACTTACAGATCAAGTCACCAAGTACGTGTAGAGACACTGATATTTACAGAAGGCCATTAACGGCAGTGGTCCCCAACCTTGGGCCTCCAGATGTTCTCAGACTTCAACTCCCAGAAATCCTGGCCAGCAGAGATGGTGATGAAGGCTTCTGGGAGTTGAAGTCCAAGAATATCTGGAGGCCCAAGGTTGGGGACCACTGATTTATGGGGGTACCAAAAGCTCCAGAGTCTGGCAGATCAGCTGTGAACCACAGAATCTCATGGAAAGGAACCCCAGTGTGTGTGATTCTGACAAGGGTTGGGGCAGGCTCTGTGCATGTCACCTGAGCTTGGAAAAGTTAATCTGGAGACTACAACTCCCAGAATTCCCCAGCTAACATGGGTCCTGTTCTACAAATTAGTATTACTGTGAATGGAAGAAAACTGTTTTGTCCCCAACAGCTGGAACAATCTTAAACAAGTCTCCATTCAATATAGATCATGAATCTGAATAAATCTTGTGTATCACGACCACCACCCAGAATTGAGGCTTCAAGGAGCTAGCTGAGCATGCAGAAAGATCAAAGCTGAGAATCGTGGACTTCACAACAGGATGGGCAAAGGGAAATGCGGCAAGGCACGCAGGTGGGGATTAGACTCCCCCTTCAATAGAGACTAAGGGGGAAGGGACTTTATGCCAATTTTCTGTCAAGCCAGGACTACTTTATTAATAATGTATCTGGCTACAATCAAAATACTGGCTTCAAATCAAGAATCCGAGTGTTCCCTAGCTTCTCCAGTTTTTGCACCAGTGCTTTAGACTGGACCAATAAAGAGTCAAGGCTCTTTGATAATACTCTTTCAAGTAGGTTATTTGCAGCAAAGAGGTACTGAGGTGATTTCATTCCCTTGGGGATGCTACTGCACTAAGATTCCTTGATACAGCCTGCAGGGCAGCTGACCAAGGGAGACTTAAAAAAACGTGACTAGAAAGCACAATGTGTCTCCGTGCCTCAATTTGATGGGATGATGATTTAGCAAAATCCACTTAGCTAACCTGCAGGGAGGAAAGATACCTGCCCATTGTTCTCGAAGCTGGGTAAGAAGACACTTTTATTATTTTTTTAAAAGAGCGAAATGGCTCCGTACTCATCTGTTGTGCTCAGATACTTGATCTCTATAACGTTAAACAGACCTAAGTACAAAGACTTTCGTTCTATGGAGGGGGGACCAAAGGCATACACAAGATGCAAAATGATCCATGGTGGTCCTTTGACCCTCATATGGCAGGTGCCACACAGAGCCACAGGATACACCCGATAACAAACAGCTCACAAGGCGGTGAGGGGAAGGGGCAAGCACCAGGCAGAAATGCACATCCAAAGCCAATTACATGTGGTGTTCCCCCAAGCAATGGGTTCTCTGAGCAGCTCTACCTGCCAGGGTCTCTGTTGGTCCTCCTCGATATCTTGGCGGCCTTCAATACTGTCGACCACGGTATCCTCCTGGGGAGGCTCTCCGAGTTGGGAATTGGTGGCTTGGTGCTTGCCTGACTCTATTCCTTCTTGGAGGACCATCCCCAGAGAGTACAGCTTGGTGAGAGTGTCTCGGCCCCGTGGAGTCTCAATTGTGGGGTTCCACAGGGGTCGATTATCTCCCCAATGCTGTTTAACATCTACACGAGGCCGCTGGGTGGGGTCATCAGGGGGTGTGGAGCATTGTGTCATCAGTATGCGGATGACACCCAGCTCTACATCTCCTTTTTTCCAACTACAGGTGATGCTGTCCTGCCCCTCCAGTGCTGCCTGGGGGCTGTACTGCAATGGATGCAGGAAAATGGGCTGAGGCTGAACCCGGACAAGACGTAAGTTCTACACTTGGACTCAACGCTCACCATGGAAACACAGGTGGCATCGGTAGTCCATACCGCCTTTTCCCATCTCTGGTGGATAACTGCGGCCCTACCTAGACACGGGGGCTCTCACTACCTTGGCACATGTGCTCGTAATCTCAAGATTAGACCACTGTAACACACTCTATGTGGGGCTGCCTTTGAGGCTGATGCAGAAACTTCAGGTGGTGCAGAATGCAGCGGCTAGACTCCTTACTGAAGTGAGAAAACACCAACATATTTCTCCTGTTCTGGCCATGCTGCACTGGCTGCCCATTCGTTTCCGCATTGACTTCAAAGTTTTAATGCTTACTATAAGGCCCTAAATGGTTTAGGACCTCGATACCTGGTGGAACGTCTATTTCCACCAAGATCTACCCGGATCACCCGCGCGAATCAGGAGGTGAGGCTGAGGAGCCTGACGCCGAGGGAGGCCCGGAGAGAAAAAACACGAAACCGGGCTTTCTTGGCGGTGGCTCCTCGTCTCTGGAATAACCTTCCACCGGAGATTCACAAGGCCCCCACACTGGGTACATTTAAAAGTCAACTAAAAACATGGATATACATCCAGGTCTTCCCTCCTGTCAGCACTTGACTCTTTTTTTTCTTTTTTGCTATTCATTATTATATATATTTTTGCACTGTTTCTGTTATTGATTATGTCAATGGCTTTTGTGTTATTTTAATGAATATATGTTTGTTGGAAGCCGCCCAGAGTGGTAGAATATATCAGATATAAAAAAAATATA